GTACAGCCACAAGAGCAATGGGCTCAAGCGTAACAATAATTGTAAGGGTGGTGTAGGACCAGGCTGTGTTTCCTTCTGTTGTGCCGACTTGCTAACATCTAATAAGAACAACAACAGTCTGATTTGAGTTTATACTCTTTGTAAAAAGCCAATGAAATATTTTTTATTAATTACAAACATAATAAATTGAGCATGTGAAATTGGAATGTGTTTACAATTGCAAACACACCCAGCATTTATGCTTGATATTTTCATGATGGAATTTTATATACTGTTTTATTAGGGTAGGAACTATGCATGGTAGCCTAGTGGAACTAATGATGTAACTTGTTTTAAACAAAATGTGTTCACTGAGCCTGTGTCTAGTTCATGGTCAATGCACTTTGGAGCACAGGTGGATTATTAAACTTTGGTCTTTCTCTGATGCGTGACCGTCCCAAACCTTTTGCTTTCTGCTTCCCAAATACAAAATAAAGTAGCTTAATAGTTATTTCAATAAGTAGCTTCCTGATGGAGACACTAAAAATGGTTCCTTTTCTTTTATTCAAGTCACCTGTCATGTCTGGGCCTCAGTTTCTTTATTTATAATATAAACTAACCTCTGGAGATGCTTCTATCACTTTCATCCATAAGCATATTAATCTCACTAAATGTATTTTCAGCATTCAGGGGATTAAAATCTCTGATCTTTGCCCTTAGGGAGCTAGGGGCTTGCATTGGGAAAGACGTTAGAGACTGCTTTAGCACAATTATATGTAGCATTCAAGACTTGTTGATTTGATAGAGAAATGTCAGGTCCTAAAAAGTGAGGAATGTTGTTGTTGTTGTTAAGTGCTGTCAAGTAGATTTCAACTCATAGCAACCTTGTATAAGGCTTCCAAGGAACAACTGGTGGGTTTGAACTGCCAACCTTGTGGTTCGAAGTCCAGTGCTGATCCTACAGTGCCAGATCAGGAGTCCAAAACTTGGGAATTAGGAGATACTTTATATCTGAAAGAGAACTGTAAAAAAACAAAAACAAACAAAACCAATAATGCTTTTTCAAAATGTAGACAGAGAGTTGATTTCAGTATGCAGGGCAATGCACAGGAGCCTGGTCAGTCTGCTAGACTTGTTCTGCAGTGGGATTAAAAATATGAACTTTCTGCTCTTACAAAGCAGAAGGATTGGTGGGAGAGGGAGGAAAGACCACAAAGTATTAATTGTATTTTCAAACTCTGGGCTACTAAGAGAATTTTTAAACACACCATGTAGTAAGACTAAGTATTTTTTCTTGAAGCTTTCTTTTAGAAAACATAATTGGTTGGTATTCAACTGATACTTACACTTACTTTCTGTGGCAAATGGGACTGATAGAAACTTCCCTTCATGAGTACATTACTTTAGGAAAAAAGTAAATTGGTTTAAAGAAAAACATTAAATCAAAATATAAATGGTTATTGTTAAGTGGTGGGTGTGGCGCTGCAGGAAAATGTGCTGGGCTGCAAGGTAAGTTAGAACCACAAGATGGACAGTTCAAACCCACCAGCTGCTCCTTGGGAACCCTGTTCTGGGTCAGAACCAACTTGAGGGCACTTAACAACAAGAAGTCCATGGAGTCGGTTTCGACTCATAGTAACCCTGTAGAGGGTTTCTGAGGCTTTAAAATCTTTTGTGGGAGCAGGAAGTCTCATCTTTCTCCCCATGAGTGGTTGGTGGGTTCGAACGGCCGACCTTATGGGTCATAGTCCAGTGCTTATTCTATAGATCCACCATGCTCCCGGTATAAATGGTACATAGCTTAAATTGGGAAGGTGTTGTAAGAATGACTATAATTTTAGAAATTCCTCATCTATTATATAGATAATAAAATGATGGTGATTCATTTATGTCACCTGCCCTATGGCTCATGGTTCATCCTAGGATTAGGGGGAGCTCTGGTAGCGTAGTGGTTATGAATCGGGCTGTGAACCGCAAGGTCAGCAGTTCTAAACTACCAGCGGTTCCGCGGGAGAAAGATGAGGCATTCTGCTCCCGTAAAGATTTACAGCCTCTGAAACCCTGTACAGGGTCGCTGTGAGTCGGAACCGACTCCACGGCACTTAACAACAACAACAACATGTTATATATATGGAGTCTTGGTGTGGCGCTGTAGGATAAGCACTCCACTTTAAGGCCAGTTTGAACCACAAGGCCGGCAGTTCAAACTCACTAGCCACTCTTCGGAAGCCCTATACAAGCCCGTTATAAGTTAGGACCGACTCTACTGCAATGACCACAAAATATATAAAACAACCATAATATATATAAAACAGAGTCCTAGTGGGTGCTATGGTTAAAACACTGGACCACAAGGTCAGTGGTTCAAACTCACCAGCCATTCCTTGAAAACCCTATACATGGTTGCTATGAATCGGAACCGACTCGATGGCACCTAACAACAACAATATAAAACAGAGGAGTCATGGTGTGACTCTGTAGAATAAAGTACTGGACCGCAAGATTGGTTTGAACTGCAAGGTTAATGATTCAAACTCACCAGGTGCTTCTCGGCAATCCTGTTATTATTAAGCGCCATAGAGTTGGTTCCGACCCATAGTGACCCTATATAGGGTTTCCGAGGAGCAGCTGGTCAGCTTGAACCGCCGACCTTGTGGTTCAAGCCGACTTTGCAGTCTAGCTTATTAACCCGCAGCGCCACACCAGGACTCCCAGAAATCCTATACAGGGTTACTGTGATCCAGAACCAACTTGACGGCACTTAACAGTGACAACATATAAAACAGAAGGAGTTCTGGCAACATAATGGGTTAGGAATTGGGCTGCTAACCCCAAGGTCAGCAGTTTAAATATACCAGCAGCAACATGGGAGAAAGACGAGGGTTTCTGTTCCAGTAGAGATTTGCAGCCTGGAAACCCTATACAGGGTGGCTGAGTTGGCGCCAACTCCATGGCACATGACCACTGCCACCACCATAAAAAAAACAAGGCTTGTTATGTTAACCAGTATTCTCATTTATCTGCAAGCCACAGAATATTTAGGATAATTTATAGATCTATACTGTATGAATAAGCATTCTTTTTATCCTGTAGTTCACCGCAAGCGACATTGCCATTGCGAAGCAGTTTTTTAAAGTAAGGAAACTACAGGGTATGCCCTAATTCATAATACTGCAAATGTCTTCCTTCATTCATCATAATGAATTGGGGAGGGGGCGGTGAGACCCGAGGATAGACAGCATATCTGTAAATACAAAAAGCGCTTTTAAGCGTTATATGCATTGTACACGATTGAGGGTGAGGGGTGGGAAATGTTATTTAAGGATCTTATCCTCATTTATAAGGTGGGGTAGACAAACACTATGTAATTCTTTATTCGATTTGCTTTGTCTTGCTGCTCGGTTTTGTCATCAGCCAATGTTGCAATTACTTTAACAAGCAATGGAAATGCCAGTCAAGAGCAGCACCTGGGACCTCTTCACCCTTGTGACATGTCAGGCCTCAGGCAGGAGGCAAAAAGGCCCAAGGCTGAGTGTGGAGTCCAGGCAAAAAGGGCCTGAGCGGTGGGAACCTGGGTGTGCAAGGATGCCTCATTTCCAGTATTTATATTAGCGATTCACCTCCACCTTTGAAACACTTAATGGGCGCTGATTATCTTCCCTGGCATCGCCCAGATTTGAGGGTTTGGGAGGAAAGCTGGCGAACTGTTCATGTGCATTTTGACAATAAAAAGCTTTGTGTGCAGGCAGATTCCACCTGCTCAGAACCTTATACTTGAGCTGTGTTGACCCACAAGGAGCTGTTTTTTCTTCGCCTCGATAATCTTGTAAGAGTGATCAGCTTGAGAAGTCCGCCAACTACGCTGGCTATCCCGCAAAACCTGATGCAACCCCGGCCAATGGTTCACTGCTCCATTCCAGCAGCCAGGCGACAAGAAATAAAATGGAAGATCCATTTTGGGAAAATAGGCCTCGCATTCGAAGCGGGGGGTTTGAGGGGGCAAGGCGAGCAAAGAAAGGAGAGACGAAGGCACTGCTCCGAGAAGCCGGGTTCATTCAAACCCAGAGGACAGCAAACCCCGCCTCCCCACGCCGCCGCCCGCTCAATCGCCGAGCGCTCCGGGTGTGAGTTCGCCCCGCGGGGAGCGGCTTGGAGCCTTGGAGGCGGTGGCAGAGGTGGTTTGGGCAGCCCCGCGCGGCGGATAGGCCCAGGCAAACAACACCCATTCCCCCTCCCCCTCGCTCAGTTCAACTCCCACTCGGCCCCGGCCACGCCCTGCCGCCACCGCCCCCTCGGGCAGCTTTCCGCTCGGCAGCCTGGCCTCTGTCGTGGGCGGGAGGAAGGCGGGGCCTCGGAAGGGACCGCCGCGGTCGCCGAAAACTACAAGGGCCGATAGGCTTTGCGGTGGCTCACCGCCCCCTTTCTCCCACCACTCAGCGCGCGTCACCAGGAGCTCAGCCAATGGGGAGCGAACCAGGGAAAAAGGGCGCCCGGGTCCGGATGCGCCTCAGGAAAGCCATGCTCCCTACGTGGGGGCAGCGGGCATTTCACTCGGCACACCGAGCCCTTGGTGATCCTTGCGCCCTCACACCCGCCCCGCTCGCTTCCTTTGAGTGAGAACCCTACTTTTTTACTTTAGTGGCAGTTCGGCGAGCTGCTGGAGCGGGTTTTTGGGTGGAGGGAACTGGGAAATGAGTAGGGGGCGGGATATCCTGAGACAACACGTTTGGCTGTATGGAGAGCCTACCAGCAGCGCGCCTGAACTAGGACGCCGAGAGGAAGAGCGCAAGAGGAGCGGAGAGAGAAAAAGAAAAGCTTCTGAAAGAACCCAGAGAAAGGGGGTGGAGAGGAGGCGGCCCCAGCGCCCCGGCCCCCGGCAGGTCGGCGGCCAATCCGCTGGGGGAAGGGGTGGAGAGTCGGCGGCTCCGGCGGAGAGAGGCCGAGGGGGGTGGGGAGTCTGCCGGGCTCGCGCCGCCCTGGCCCCGCCCCGGCCCGCGCCGCCGCCCGCGCCGCCGCTGTCAATCAAGGGCGAGTCAGCCGGGCTCGGGCGGAGAGAGGAGCTGCTACGCCACAGCCCAGCGGCGGCCATTCGCGGAAAAAGAGGCAGAGCCTGTGCCAGCTACAGCCTCCTCCGAGCCACCGCGGGCGGGCGGGACCGGCCTCTCCTCCCGCCTCGCCCCCACCCCCACCCACCTCTATCCCAGTGTCTCCGTCTGAGGGTTTGTCCTGTTAATGCGGGATGAGCGGTACGTATTCTCCACCCCCCTCGGTCTCCTTCACCGCCTCCCTCTCCAGACCCTGCTCTGTTCTCCCCCCTCCCCTGGGGCCGCTGAGATGCTTTAAGGGGAGGAGGAGACGGAGGGAGGGTTGTGTTTTGTCTTAATGTCTGAGAGGGAACAACCTCCTTCTGGGTGTTGCTCTGGAGCGGATGGGTCGGGTTTCAAACCACGTTTTGTGATCTCCCCCTCCTCCCTTCCCTCTTCTCCCCCCACCCCCTCCCGTGTGCGTGGATCGCGGGTTTATGGAGATTAATGTTCGGGGGGAGGGGAAAGGCGAAGAATAATAATCCTAATAACCTGTTGTCGTGTATGTGGGGGTTTCTTGCAGATCAGAAGAAGGAGGAGGAGGAGGAGGCGGTGGCGGTGGCGATGGCTACAGAAGGAGGGAAAACCTCTGAGCCAGAGAATAACAATAAAAAACCCAAAACCTCAGGCTCCCAGGTAAAAGCAAACATACAAAACAAAATGCATCCCGAAACATTAGGGGAGAGAGGGAGTTATACCCCCATTTAATGCCCAGACGTGAAGAACAGAATAAAAATGTTTATCCACTCCAAGCATCTTTCAGAAAGTGAGGAACTTAAAAATTAAATGGTAAATTCATGCAGATTTCACATATTTGAGGGTATGACATTGTTTAAAATTACATCAGGAACTCACACGATGTTGTTTTCCCGTGGGCATTTTAAGTTTAGGAAAATAACACTTCAGGAAAGTTTGTTAGAAATTCCCTTTTATTTAAACTTTATATCACAGTTCTCATGCTGCTTTTAAGTTCATTTTTCTTTTTGGTTTTTGCCACCCCTTCCAGAATGAGTTCTGATATTTAGAGCTGTCAAAAGAAAGAAAGAAAAAAAAACTTCCCAACTACTGGCCTCCACTAAATCTGCCCACTTTTTTTTCCCCCCCTCTCCTTTACCACCCTATTTTGGGTAGGACTCTCAGCCCTCTCCTCTGGCTTTACTGGCAGCTACTTGCAGCAAAATAGGGACTCCTGGTGAAAATCAAGCAACTGGACAACAACAAATTATTATAGATCCAAGCCAAGGACTGGTGCAACTTCAAAATCAACCACAACAGCTAGAACTGGTAACAACACAACTTGCTGGAAACGCTTGGCAACTTGTTGCCTCCACTCCCCCTGCTTCAAAAGAAAATAACGTTTCTCAACCCGCTTCTAATTCATCTAGTTCTTCCAACAGTAATAACGGGAGTGCGTCTCCTACAAAAACAAAATCAGGTAATTCTTCTACCCCTGCTCAATTTCAAGTCATACAAGTACAAAATCCAAGTGGCAATGTTCAATACCAAGTGATTCCACAGCTTCAGACAGTGGAAGGTCAGCAAATCCAAATCAATCCTACTAGTAGTTCATCTCTACAGGATTTGCAGAGTCAAATTCAGCTAATTTCTGCAGGTAATAATCAAGCTATACTCACGGCTGCTAACAGGACAGCTTCTGGGAATATTCTTGCTCAAAACCTGGCAAATCAGACAGTTCCTGTCCAGATTAGACCTGGTGTTTCAATACCACTGCAGTTACAAACCCTCCCTGGTACCCAGACCCAGGTTGTAACTACCCTACCAATTAACATCGGAGGAGTAACTTTAGCTTTGCCTGTGATAAACAACGTAACTGCTGGAGGAGGGACTGGACAGGTTGGCCAGCCTGCTACTACTACTGATAGTGGGACTTCTAATGGGAATCAGTTAGTTTCCACACCCATCACCACCACTGCTTCTGCCAATACTATGCCGGAATCTCCCTCCTCTTCCACTACCTGCACAACCACTGCTTCCACATCTCTGACGAGCAGTGACACATTAGTGAGCTCAGCAGATGCGGGCCAGTATGCAAGCACATCAGCCAGTAGTTCTGAACGCACCATTGAAGAATCCCAAACGCCTGCTGCCACTGAGTCTGAAGCCCAGAACTCTAGTCAGCTTCAGCCAAATGGACTACAGAATGCACAAGATCAATCAAATTCTCTCCAGCAGGTGCAAATTGTAGGCCAGCCTATTTTACAACAGATCCAGATCCAGCAGCCTCAGCAACAGATTATTCAGGCCATTCCACCTCAGTCATTTCAGCTCCAGTCAGGGCAGACAATTCAGACCATCCAGCAGCAGCCTTTACAGAATGTTCAACTTCAAGCTGTAAATCCGACTCAGGTGCTTATCAGGGCTCCAACTTTAACACCTTCAGGGCAAATCAGTTGGCAGACTGTCCAGGTTCAGAATATTCAGAGTCTTTCAAATTTACAAGTTCAGAATGCTGGGTTATCCCAACAATTAACCATCACCCCAGTGTCTTCAAGTGGTGGCACAGCTCTTGCTCAGATCGCTCCTGTGGCTGTTACGGGTGCCCCACTAACTCTGAATACTGCCCAGCTTGCATCAGTGCCTAACCTTCAGACAGTGAGTGTTGCCAACCTGGGTGCTGCAGGCGTTCAAGTGCAGGGAGTTCCAGTTACAATCACTAGTGTTGCAGGTAAGTCACTGTACCTTTAAAAGTATCTTTGAAGCAGTTTCACCGTATTTTTATGCAAATAATGCGTGTATTTTATATTTTTTTTGTTTTTGTTTTTACCCCAAACCTTGCATAGTATGTTTCCTGTGCAAGGTATGCGCGTTCTATGTGTACACATTGTTTACATGGGCGTGTTTTTTGCAGAAAAATACAGTAATATAAGGATTGGTTACTGGTTTTGGGCTACCTCTCAGATTTGTTATAGACCTATTAAGCAGAAATTATAAGGAAAAAAATAATAAACTAATAAACTACCAATTGTAACTGTTATCAATGTGATTAGTTTTTTTGTAAATTGTACTACTGGTGTTCATATGTTTAATTTCTAAGGTGAACAGTTTGTAAAGATTATTCTTTCATAGAACAAAACTATCCCTGATTAGAATTACAACTGTCTCGTGAATTTATTTAGAGATCATATTTGAACAAACTTGAACACTTCAGGAAGAACCTGAGTCAAAATGATGTTCATCTCTTCATTAACAGAAAGTAGATTTAAAATTGAACTAGTGTAAAGTTGTGAGTTTGTTGAAGTTTGATGCTACAGCGTAATACTGCTATTTTTTTTTTTCTCCAATTAGAAGTTACTTCTTTAGTATCTTGTCACCCCGGTTTTTGTGTTTTATTACACTGAGTTGTTTTAAAACTAGATGCTGGTACAGTTGCATTTTATGTTGCAAATTGTTCAGTTAAGTTTTATAGCTATTTTTCTGCTAAAATCAGGATTTTGAATTACAACTATTGAAGTGGTAGGACGGGCATGAAAAATAGTCCTTTGTTTATAGAATTATATTTAAGTAAATCTTATAATCATTATGTTGATTATAGATCTCTTAGTGTGTGATTTCAGAAAGTAATTTAAAAGGAAGATTGTAAAATGTGACAATATGAATTAATGAGTATCATTCTTAAACCAGTTATAAAGCACTTCATATGTGTTACACTTGTAAAAAGATACTTTTGAAGTACTTGGTATCTGAAGTACTTGGAAAACTAGTCCTTTTAAGTATTTTTATGTTTATCAGTATTATTTTACCTAATATCTTGTGTTTTCTAATCATTGAACATTTTTCATTGATTCTAATTTGGTGCTGATCTAGTTGTGGTTTTAGTGTCTTGGATATGTTCAGAACTCTTTAGTTAAATATTTGTATTTTAATGTTATGAAATGTATAACTTTGTAACTTTTGAATGACCTTTCGTGAAACTAGTTAATATCTAAAGGTGATACATACATATGAAATTGAAAACTGCCAGATACTACCTTCTGACTCAGTGAACCTAGGATTACATTTTTTGTTAGATACCCACGCTCTCCAGACCAGTGCTATCTAATAGGATTTTTTTTGTGGAAATGTTGTATATCTAGATGGTTCATTGTGTGATAGGCATTAGCCACATATGGCTATTGGAAGCACTTGAAATGTGGCCAGTGTGGCTAAGAAACTATATTCAGAATATTTTAGTTTTAGTTAATTTAAATAGTCTTTTAATTATTATAGTCATAAGTAGTTAGTGGCTGCCATATTGGACAGCTCAGTTCTCTTAAGTGTGGTACTTTTCCCCTAAAACTATTGCAACATGGTTATATAAATTTCTCTGGATTAAAATACCTTGTTTTGTTGCTACTTTTGGTAAACATTTTCAATAACTTTGTAGTTCAGAAAAACGTCTGTTTAGGTTGAATGACAGCTTACACTGACAAAGCAAAAATTATGTCACTTTTTGTCTGTTAAGTGTTAGTGAATTATGACTAAGAGAATTGAGTAATTTACAGTTTAATTTAGAAATATCAATTTTTTGCTTGATAATTGATGTCCATTACAACCCAGAACTTTTTCCTTGCCCAATGCTACTAAAAGTGTGATCTTCATAATTGTCTGACTCAGATTTCACTCGGATGGTGTTTTAGAAACACAGAATCCTGCATCTGGAAATACCATTTTTTTTGTGGTTGGGGTTCAAGGATTTGCATTTTAAACAAACTGTCTAGGTGATTCTAAGGCCAACTAGTTGTCAGGTATGAATGGACTTGAATCAAGGGGCAGACTGGTGCTTGCAGGGAGGCCTTGAGCAAGTTCACATGTGTCTCTCAGAGTTTATGTCAGTGAATGGAATTGTATGTCAAATACCACAGTATTGTTTTTATTCTATATGCATATATTGATTAGTATGCTCTGCACTCCTAAGTGTACTTTTTCCTCCTTATCTTTAGGGATAATTTTTTTATCTAAACACCTGTTTACATAGTTGATGAGGACATTCAAACTGTATATTGTTGTTGTTAAGTGCCTTAGAGTCGATTTCAGCTCATTGCAACCCTGTGTAGGGTTTCCAAGGAGCAGCTGGTGAGTTTGAACTACCAACCTTGTATTTCAAACTGACCTTGCAGTCCAGTACTTATCCTACAGTGCCACACCAGAGCTTTATATTTTTTTCTGAAACCAAAAATTGTAAATTTTGTTGTTGAAGTGGCAATGTTTAGTGACTTGTCCATTTTGAGAAGATTGCAATGAGATCAGAAAGATACCCTGATTTAGACAAGTCAGCGCAGTTAATGTGGGCCTAGTTGCAGATTTTGTCATACAGGCTTGACAAATGTTGCCAGAATTAAGGTATAAGACTTGATGGGCAATATAGCAATTTGAAATTGGGAGAAGTGCCTTGAAGTAATCTTAATGAAGCTAGTTTTTTTTTTGAGTGAGTTTTGAAGACATAACAGTGGGGGACAAAGTCTTTCTGGAGTCAGTCAGAGAAAGAGCATTAAGGGTTTGGGGCAGTTCTCTGCCCTAGAGGGTTGCTGTGAGCTAGAATCTGACTAAGGCAGTGCCTTTCTCTCTTATAAATGAACCTCGCAGTTCACATCTGTTACTTTGTATCCTCATTCACTTTTTAGTATTTCCTTGGTTTCCTATTGCCCCTTGGGAGAATAGTATTTAATTTTATTAAATTTATTGGGAAAAGGTTGCTTTTAATATTTTACACAACCATTACCAGGGATTGAGAATACTATTAATCAGCTTTGACAGAACGTAATGGCTAGCTTCTCTACCATCCTCATTTTATTCTAAGTGGGATAGGGGATGGGAGTCTGAATGATGTGGACAGAACAGAAGAACAACCATATAAGAGAAATGAAATAAAACCAGTTCTTGAAGCCAGGGAACTTCATACTTAGTTGTATGGGATAAGCATGTTACTGGTAACCTGAGAACATATGTTCATCATGTGTTTCTGTGGTTTAGTATCTAGCCAACTAGTTGTTGTCGGAACTAAAATACACAGTATTCCCTACATTTTGTTTTCTTGTTGGGATTCTAAGTTTGTCTTTGACTGGAGGAGGAACACAAACTCTATATCAAGCCCAAAGGTAATACCTAACTGCACTGCTGGTTTAAGAACATTCTTAAAAGTGAGAGGTACCTGTTTTCACAATACTCTGGTAGCCAAAGAGCCTGGGATATAATGAACTTGAGGAGTTTCCTGTCCTGAGTTAAAACACATTAGAATTTTCAGAGACCATTGGTATCTAGATCTAATTAATTTGCAGTGGTCAGGAATTTGACTTATTTCTGGTGGTAATCATCAGCTATAGTAACACATTATGCTGTAGACCTCTTGCTTGATGAATGGGTTTTTATTAATTTTAGTTGAATTAACATTGTTATGCTAGTTGTCTCACAAAGGAAGTTCAGACATGTTGATAAAATGTTGTTGACCCTTAAAGAACTTGACTCTTACCTTCCTTTTCTTCTCCAGGGAATTAAAGTATGAAACCTTGGCATGTAGCAGAGCCAGGAAAGGGAGAGCCAATTCTTCATTATTGGTGAAAATGGGGACCAAAGAAAATCATTGAAATTTATATTTAATCTGAAAACCTAATTTAATCCAGTAGTCAATGTTTTACTACAAATGTTTTTCCAGAGCTACTGAAAGTAGAATATTGGTTTGTAGTTTAATCCAAATGTGAGTTTTCTTTTCTATATGTATATAAATTTAGGTTTCTCTAGTTGGTATCTTAACATGTTTGTGTTTATACATATATATACACACATACATACACTCCTTTGCTTGGTAATTTATTTTTTTGCAGAGAAGTTAGGTTTATTCCTGGAATTTTATTTCTCTAAAATCTTCTAATCCTGTTTATCACAGATTGAAATTTACTATGAGGAACTTGAATCATTTACCCAGTACAGGGGATTTAAGTTCTGAACTACCAAGTTGGTTTTACCCAGTAGATGATAATATATCATGATCTTTAATATCTGGTGATGGCCACTTACCAATCATTGTCTATTTTTAACTTTTTCACGGAACATGTATAAGTACTTATTCAGTATTTGTTTTTTAAGGCTACTTTCAAAGGACTTCAGAGTAAGAAATAAGAGAGAAGAGCATGGAACATAGAATTTTAATAATGTTTTTCAAATTCTGGATGAGCGAATATATAACAAGTAATACTTTAGGAACATTGGAGCAGGCATGAAAACAGTTGAAAAGAGAAAAAAAGGAAACATAACCAAGAAGGAAAGTACGCCCAGATCTTGTAGAATTAACATGTCAGTTTCCGCCGGTTTAACTGCGACTCTGGTGACCCGTGTGTGCAGAGTCGAACTCCATAGGGTTTTCAAAGCTGTGACCATTCAGAAGCACATTGCCAGGCATGTGGTCAAACTTGTGGCTTGTAGTTGATCGCTTAACCATTTACACCATAGAGGCTTACTAAATGATGATATTTAAGTTGGAAAGGATTTGGAAAATTGCTCACTGACTGTAGCCTTTGGGGATATTTCTGCTAAAGTCTACTTGCAAAGGCATTTTATGTTTTCACTGTTTTAGATGTAAGCAAAATTATTTCTGTTGTAAATTGTTCCATGGACATGGTTCTGCACTTCAATATTAAATTTTGGGGAATGACATCGTAAAGATCGATAATAAAAGAATAAGTTAGTAACCTG